AAATCGGACATGACACTACCAAGTAATAAAAACTGCAGGGCTGCGTTGCAGTGTGGTGGATTTTGGTTTAGGCACTGCACGGCATTGGCAATCCTGTTGGTAGTATCGTATAGCCTCACAGAGAACCTTTCCCTCTGACTCTATCTCCTCTCCTGCCAGCGCAGAATACAGCATACGGTAAAGCGTTGCATCCACCCACTCCATTTGTCGCACGTGATTGCGTAAAGCACCTTTAGGAGTGGCAGACTTGAGGACCTGCTTCATGCGGGGTATCGCCTCACAAACATTGAAAAGGTCAGTGACATTAAGGTATATGCAAATTTTAGTTTGCACGCATTTATGAAGCCTCTTCATCATGGACACGACTGTTGAATTTAATGAGCCTGATTTGCATCTTGTGATGTGCTCGCTTTTAGCGGATTTTATTTGAGCGAAACGCAAAGTGGTACAATTTTATTACCTAAACTTAAACTTATAAATGCTTTTGGATGCCTGTACTACTAACTACACCTTATTTACGCCTTGTTCAACCTACAATTAAGACTTACTTGCCAGCAACTAAGTCTTCCATCTAATCCTACAACATGCTTTCGATTTCATGGACACATTCAACTGGTCGCTCCTCATTTAACATGTTTCACTTCTGCGCCCTACCAACGGCAACGGGAGATGATAAAGTATAGCTTAAATTTTGTCAACGGACAACATGCTTCTTATTTCACGGACAATCTTCGCTTATTGCATTATTATTTCCTTCCCTTTTTTAAGTCCGTAAATGACAACTACAGACAATGAAGAATAACTTTACAAGTTTAAAATGACTTTGACAAGATCGGAACTAGATGAAAAATGGCTGGAATCCTGTAGTTTGAACTTTCACAGGTAGCATCCCTTTCTGTTCAAGACAGAGAAAGAAGTGAATCACACTGCTTGGTGCAGGGTGAGCGTCTGGTAAATGGAGGAAATCTACCAGCTGATAACCAGGACGAATAGTGGGACACAAAGCCGCAGATCTCAATGAGTTTTATTCACAGTTGCAGCATTTAAATGCATTTCCTGTCCTTCCTTGCTT